TTCATGCATTTGATCATTTCATCGTATGTCTGTAATACATTGGCAGGCATTCCAGTGATGCGCGTCAATTGCGTTGCTGAACTCATCGCCTGCCAACCTCCGATCCCCCCGGGGCCTTGCTCGCAGCGTCCTTCGAGGCGGGCGCCGACTTTTTCCCCGGGGCAGCATCTCTCTTCCCTTTGGACGGCGATAACAGTCGGCCGCCTTCCATTTCAAGAGCCATGCACTCCTTCGCCGCTTGCTGTGCTTTAAGGAAGCCATCTAGGTGGCTCCATAGCCCCTGTGGCAGTCAGACGGGGGGTTCGCGAGATGGCTCACGATGCAACCAAACGGGCCAGCATGGCTCAATGTGCTGTAACGCGCCAAGCTCGCGTTGTGTTGGGATTCAATACCCCCAAGTCTGAGGTGCTCTTTGGTTGCTTGAATGACCGAACGAGCGGACTGTTGAAGGAACGGCTGCTCAGGAAGGAAGCAAGGTGGAACGCCGCTTCATCAGCGGACAGCCAACCAAGTGCGCAAGTTGAGTGAATGAGGTAGAGCGGGTTCCGATTGAAGAAATGAGCAAATGCATGATGCTCCCGTATCGACAAAAAGGCGCGCAAAGGTCCCTGAAGGATGGAAAATGCTGCAATATATTTTTGTATTGTGACGCGTGATACTGAAGTAACGGAATATGCCAAAGCAGCCTACGCTCAACATTGATCGTGCCAAACATTTGTGAGAAACGGAAAAGCTTTGTCAGTGCTGCGGCTGCAAAATACTTCTGGCAGGTTCCCTTGACGGTTCACATAAAGTTGACTTTTTGTGCACGAAGTTACAAATTCTTTTGATGAAATTTCAGAATTAGCCAGCGATTTACTGTGGGGAAGCACCTACTATCCACGCGTTCATGGCTGCAGCATGGATGTCCGAAATGTGCCAGCACACAGTGCACAAAAGGGGATCGTATTTACATCTGCCGGCGTATGGTGGCTCTGCCGTACCGGCATCCAGTGACTCTGCACCGACGAGTCCAGCCTTAAGGCACGGACGCCAATGGGGCATTAACTGCTGATCCAGGCAATGCCAACTTGCTCATTCCACATGAGAACTTCGCAACCGTTTCCAACCTCGTCTACAGGAAGGCATCGCATTGCATCAGAAGCTGGTAATCAAATGAAATTCTTCGCGACCTTGGAGCGGCGTGGGAACGCCAAACCCAACTAATTAGTCAATAGTTACAATTATTGCAACATTTTGCCAGACAGACACACAAGCAACCGGAAATTCACTCGTACATTGAAAATTTCGCACTGCATTGCATTTGGTTCCAAAATAATAACTAGCGGCGACCTCCTTTGCATGCATGTGTGCGACATTCCACATTTTCACCTGCACGCAATTGGAGTCGGCAATCTCTGCAGCCACGAGACCCCTCCATGTGGAGCCACGCAACCGCTCTCGTGGCCGCGCAACGCTCTTCGCCGTCGTCGCTCGTTACCATGCGCGCCAGATTGTCAGCGGTCCCCAGACGGGCAAATTCATCCTTGTACGAAATTCAGCCGAGTGGAGTCATTAGCTGTCGGCCACTGCCGTAGCGGGGCGGCTGCGCCTCGTGAGTCCATTTCATCCCTGCTGATCTGTATCACTATTCATATCCATCATGAAATTTACATTGCAAGGCAAGGAGGTGGCCGAGAGCTTTCTAGTTCCCTTGGGCGAGGCAGTGTCCATGACCTGTTCATTGAAATCTAATGCTCCACATGAACAGAATCCAGATGTGTCTGAATATGTATACTACAGTGTTTTACATACGATGCGTATACATCACTTGTCCAAAACAGCGTATCGCTTGCAGAAAACACCACTTTGGAATGCCCATTGCGATGCCATTCGACGCGTATTGACGCCACACCGCGATGTCAACTAGCTTTCGTGCAAAATGTCGGTAAGGTCCGAAAGGGCGCACTTGTGTGCAACATCGCGATTGTGTGTTTTTTTGGGCAAAATGGTTGTGCTCAAGATTGTCCATCAGAAAACAAGGAAACTTGTGCGCAATATCGCCATTTCTGAGTGCACTAAAAAAAAGGGTATGAACGCCTTTAAAACACCAGTTTTCATGCTTTATATCACAAGCTTAAGAAAGTTTTTACAAAAAAAATATGTACAACACGGGTTCAGCTTCCCCCCCCCACCGACCCCATGCATTGACACACTAGGCCCAGCGATATTCGCCTGTGTTTGCGCGCGCGGCGCGCGCAAAGGTACACTCTTTTTGTGCGCAATATTGTGGTTTTCTTGTCCGTTGGGTGACCAAAAATGGCCTGTTTGTGCGTAGGTTTGTTGTTGTGGCATTTTTCTTGCATTCCGCCTGTGCGCAAAATGCATGTTTTGTTGTTTTCCGTGACCCTCTTACCGACATTTTGCATGAAAGCTTGTTTGTCCCACTCAGTGCCGAAGTGCCATTACAATTGGCCTCGCCAAAATGGTGCTTCCTGCCAATGCATATGCTCCGAATGAAATCGCTGCGCAAAGGAATTGTTTCATCGATGTGCCATTTACCCTTGGACCATGAGTGTGAACTGTAGCGCTGTAGAATCAATATGCAATACGCTGTACTGGGGCAATGAACAACTGACAGTGTTCTTGAAGTACTGGGCCGGCGGCATGTTTGGCCCGTTGGCACAGCGCGATGTTGAATGACACGGCTACGCATCAAGAGCTGTCCTGCCAAAGGCTGGCCATCCGTTCGGGCTTACCACAATAACTGGGAACGGCCGCGACTCCCTATCGAGTGTGATGCGACATACACTGTGCGATCACGATGGCGCGATACGGGGAGCACGCCAGCATCTTGTCCAACTCATTCTCATAGCCGGGCGGGCGGGAACACGTCCCACTCGGACGGGAACAGAATAGTGGATATGAAGCAGCGCCCTCCAATGATATGCAGGGGCGCAGGCGACACGCCAGACCATTGACAGCTGTTGATTCAGCAGTGCTGGAGACAGTCAACATGATGATGGAGTTCCTCTCTGCAAGGAACACGATTGATGCATGCACTGTGAGATTCTACCTGGTTGCAGTCTGAGAAAAGCGTCGCCATACCTCCAACAGCGTCAATGAGGTGCTAAGCCATTCCATAATTAATGATGTAGTAATACGGAATTGTGCTTTTCATGTTGCACATATTGATACTGCCGAATTGAATTGCTTGGTCTCACATGTGTCGGAGCGCTGCAGCTGTGAGGAAAGCAACTCTTCCTGAGCAAGGCAGGGACTTCACGGAGGCCCATTTGTCCCCAGAAGATCGGTCTCGTTCATTGATTGCATGTGGTGCCTCCGTGTAGCTCACCTGCGTCTCTGGGCTGTTCTCCAGGTCGGCCAGTCGAGACAGCCCGGCCAGCCGCTGACCCACGTCCCCAGATCCGAGCTGTTTGAGGACGGCGCCCGCGTCCAAAACTTCCTGGATAGCCTGCGGCTGCTTGGCTTTCTTCGGTGCCATGCCTCGCGGCGCCTGGCCGGACCTTGGGGCCCTCGCGTGCCTCGGGGCGTCGGTCGGCCGAGTTGAAAAACCAGACTCTGACGCTTTTCGCCTTCAGCCCGTCGTCGCCTTGAGTGCGCCCGAGCTCGACTGGGTTATTGGGCAAGATCGAGTGTCATTGATCAAGAGAAGGTTGCGTTGGCGAGCGGTGGAAGAAGGCTGTTTCGGCCGCGAGCTATGGTTGCTAGTCTATGGTGCGGCATTCAAGACAAGTTGTCAGCATGGGTGGAAGGTCCACCAGCTCGGTCGTTTTCTGTCCGCGTTCAACCACTTGATGTGAAGGAAACAGGCATCAATTTAGGTGTGAAACTCAATATGTAAAATTACAGCTATCCTGTTGTGACACATTTGTGTCCAGTGGACATTGACAGCACGCTCGACATGTGTGTGACTGACGGCCTTTGGCTCTTTGACCTTCTGTAAGACCCGCCTTGCATCTGTCTCCCCGTGCCCTGCTCACGCTGCCATCCCCATGAAAGCATCTCTGAGCTATCAATACCACAATTTGGCTACCCCCAGTTCAGAGAGTTCGGCCCTCATGCTTGCGTTGTCCATAATATTTCTTGGTCACAACTGTGTACGCAATAAGCGGAGCCAATCGTGGTGTACATGGTGACGATATGGGATCAAACCGCCTGATCTTGACCATGGCGCGGATGTCAATCTGGCACAATGATTTCCACAGGAGCCCCTCGAGCATCGGCACAAGCAGGAAGGCTCGATGCTACTGAGAGCGATTGCGCTACTTCAGCACTGCTTCGTTTCGCAATGGGAGAGGCATCAGCCTGACGCTCCCAGCACATTTACATGCACTTTCATGCCACGGATGCATGCAGCCGCTCGACCTCCAAGCACACAAGCCACAACCAATGCACATGAATACATGGCGCCACCCCAGTACATACTGTGAACTGTGCAGTTCGTAACAATACACCAGAACAGCTCGAAAACCCTCCGTGCAGCAGTGTACGCAGCACACCAGTCAGAGGTGCTGCCGTCCTCGCTCCCTTCACTATTACTTAAAGCCACACTAGCTCAAAGTTGAACAGTTGCAACACCCACAGGAAGCAGAAGATGAACTTAACAGAAATGAAGAGTGATAAGTGCCCTTGCCTGCTATTCTCAACTTTCCTCGCCATGCAGCTAAGTTTCCTACACAAACTCCAGGACCCCTTGACCGCCACCACCAAAACATCGACACTCTTACAGCGTCCAACAAGCCAATATCCATTAGCATCCCCAACCAATGGTGCGAATCAAGGAATGGAGGGCCCCGGCCAGAAGTTTTTTTGTTGCAATCAACACCTGTCCATCAAATTGACCAGCTTGGATGCACTTTAGGCTGTCCCACCCTATGGTCCGCCTGCTCATCAAAAGAACGACATTCCTAAAGCGTTCAAAAGCAGAGGACAGGAGTGGACCCCTGTCCGCAGATGCCACCAAACTGGATTCATCACCTCGTCAAGATTTTGTCCGTTCACAGGACAGCCATTCCCAGGGCCACGCTGCCAACAATCGCTGCAAGGGACACATAGACGGCCCCTGCAGCAGCCAACTCTCCCGTGCCAATATCCTCCACTGCCGGCACACTGTCTGGCGCGGCCCCATCTGCCATCGCCACATGCAAATCATGCACACTCTCAGCATTGATCTTGGGAGACTATTTGTCCTTTTACCGAAGTGTTAAGTGCCCGGGTGGAATTTCGACCAGATCTACAGGGATGCGGCAATTTCTGGTATGTTGGAATTCCAAGCTTGTCACATACAAACAATAACAGTGACAGAATGCATGGTCTTGTTCGCCATGTGACCACACGCTGTGTGCATTTGCTGCTGCATTCCAAGGCTCCTGCATCGTTTTTTCAACTTGCCAAAAGATCTGGAACAACACTGTTGGAAAGGGGCATGCAGGATGGGGTGGGATGGTGGGAGTGTGTGTGTGGGTGGGTGGGTGTGGGTGGGTGGGGTGGAGAACAGACTTACCAGTTGTGGTATCATCCATATCCTCGATGGGCACACAGGCATCCGCAGTTGACACTGCCATGAACACCATCGGAGAGTCAAAAATAATCGTTGCACCATTCTCAACAAGTACATGTCAGAAACTAACAGCAGTGCCCTGTTGTCACACAGAAAGCTTCCCCTTGATCTCTTTTGAGGTACAAGCGAACAATAATGATGTCAAAATCCGTTGTGCAAAATTAAAAGTGTCAAGCTTTGGGGACAAAGGAAGTACTGACTACTGAGAAACCAGCACCTAGACTTGCAACAAGTGCTCACATACACAACTGCCAAAGCAGCCCACAAGATACAAAATCTGGAAGAGGAAGAAACAAAACTGCAAACCAAAAACAGCATACCCCTTAAAGAAGCATTGCCCCACTGAAATGGCCTGTAGTACTGCCTCACACAGGGCATTCACCACATTCTGTGGATACACTTCCAACAAAGTTGAAGAACCAGCACTACTTATTCACTTGTTAACAATTGTTATCCAAAGTTTGCTGCACTAGCACCTCAATTCAGCAAATTGTTCCCTTTGGCTTCCAGCACCACGACAGACAGTGGCCTCACCATCGTCTCCAACTGAGGCAGAGGCTGAAGCCATGGTGCCCTCTGGGCATCCGCCATTTGTGGCAGGCACCGAGCCCCCCGTCGTGCTGGCCCCAGTGCTGGCTGCCACATTGTTGGCGCCGGTTGCACCTGCACTTGCCATGGCGGACCCGTCCCCAATTGTGGTCGAGGTGTTGGCTGCAGCACACCACAGCAGTTGAGATTGATGAGGTGATCAATAGTCAAGCCCAAATCGATGACTTCTGTGCCTTGCGCGTTCAGGGGGCTGTACAATTGTGGGGCACAGCATGCCCAACAGATTCGAGGTAAGACATTCTCGTCTTGTAGGGTGCAACCCAGTACAACTTGAGAGGCCTACCAAAAGAGGCACAGGGTGTCTGTACACAGTGTCGATCACGCCCCAGATCCCCACTGCAAGCTGCAAGCGGCCCTGCATTGACTTTGAAGGCAAGCCTACACAAAGCCATCTGACCGAATATCTCTACAAAGTGACACGCACACAGCAACGGTAGAGAACGATAACATGGCCTTGGGGCATCAGCACATCGGTGTGATCACTTCCAAGTGCCAAGTACCAAGCACCAACTGCCAAAGCTTCCCAAACGAATCAGGTGAACAGGGCTGGTGCAAGGAAAATCGAGTTAAGGTGGCCTGCGCTTTCTCCGCCGCGATGCAATCAGGTCCGTGCCTGGATTGGCACCAATGCCATTGGCGCTTCAGCCACCGCACCCCAAGGCCCCACCGCCTCTCCACGGCAGGCAGATCACGACGACGCAGCAAATACCTCAGGGCAGCATGCGCGACGCTGGAGAGCGCCGCGGCCTGCAACCTGGTATGGGTTTCAGTTGAGACCTCTGAGCCGAGATCTCGATCCCAACGAGCGGAATTATTTATGGCGGGCCGCGACAGAAAAGGTAGCGCGACAATGCTCCCCCTTTCTGCGTTCTTCTCCGCGCAAAGTCTCCCCGCCACCGACACCCGCACGCAGCGCAACGCGCTAGCAGATTTCCCTCCGATTTCCCGCGTTCCCCAGAGCGGCCGATCCCCTTCCCCGCAAATCCCAATCCAGCATTGGCTGCAACCGTCCCAAAGGCCGCTGCCGGGGAGCAGGCGATCGCGCCACCCGCCAGATCAACTCAAAAATGCAGACGAGCGGCCCACAGGGCCACAGGCCATGCGGTCGCCGCCCTCGCTGTGGCGCAGCTCCCCGCCCGGCAGCACGCCCACGCGGCCCCACCGTGGCTAGCGGCGGCCCGCCACCGATCGACGCGAAAGCGAGAGCGCGGAATCGCTTCCAAAGACTGCGGGCGCCGCGCGCCGCCCGGCGGGCGCGCAGGCATCGCCGGCATGCCCACGACCCGCCCATCGCGAACAGCCGCATCCCATAGGCTTAACTCGAGCGACACGCAGCACGACGGCGCGAACACATCAGGAATTTCTTCCGGGGGAATTGTCCCCTGGACCATGGACCGACGAGCATGATGCCCAGCGGGGATTGGACGTCTGAAGGGCGGATGCAGGGGGCAGCAGCGCGTAAAAGACGCGCAGGGCTTCTCTTTGGGGGCCCCGGATCGCTCACCCTGCGCGTCGCCGACGGTCAGGCACGCCAGCAACGTCGCCGCGGCCAGCAGCGCCGCGATCCTCCCGCTCGCCATACGTGCTCGAGTCTGTTGCAAGGGGCCACCGGGGGTGAGGTGGGGGCGCGGGGGCGTTGCTCTCCTCTCGTCGGGATCAGGGGGGGTGAGGCCGGGGGCTGTGCCGCGTCGCTGGTGATGTGGGGCGGCAGGGATCGAACTTGCGGGGCGCTGAGTGGACGCTTATGGGGGCGGCTCGGGGGGGCGCGGCATGTATTGGTTGCAACACGGCCGCCCAGCCCCAGGTCCCCGTGGCAAAAGCTGCGGAGGAGTCAGCAGGCGTAGTAAGCGAGCCGGCGGCCCATTCTGGACCGTGACTGCTGCTGTGGTGACAAACACGGTGGCAGCCCGTTGCGTCCGGTGATGGCTTCGGGGACAACCCGCTAAGCTGTTCCCTTAGCTAGCTTTCAGACAATCCGCTGAGGTCCCTTAGCTCAGCCCCTCCCCCTGTTGCCCGTCCTGTTTGCCAGCCCCGCCGCACTGTGGTGTCGCGTGCCGTGCGCCGGTCCGACGGCCTGGTTCCTGACGAGAGGGGACCCGGCGTCCCGCGGCGCAGCGCCCCGCCGGGCAGGGGGCAGATACAGTTTTTTCCGGACACTTTTTAGTCTGGAGGGCCGCTGGCATGGACGAGCGGGTGGAGGTGCTTCCCGTGGGCGGGGAGCCCAGCGGAGGGGCCGGCGGGGGCGGCGACGGTGATGAGGCGGTGTTCCTGAAAGGGATCGGCCTCTCCGTGTATCAGAACTCCGGGGACACGTCGAGCAACTGGGCGACGTTCGTCAAGAAGAAGGGCGTGTTTGGGGGGTATCGCGTGAAGAACGCGGAGCAGATCACCACTTCCTGCGACTTTTGGAACAGGTGAGGGCGGCGACGCGCCGCGGGGGCGCCGAGCGTCTGTCGCTTTTGACCGGCCCCGAAACCCGACGGGCTGTTTACTTGTGCGTGAGGCGGCCTGAGGGCATGCCGTCGGGGAACTCGGTGACCTAGAGCGAAAGCGGGGTTGGCAATATCCGCGATCATTTCCGTGCAAATTTTGGATAGCGCAGTGGGGAAAGGGCCGTTTGTTCAGGTTGCTAGATGCGATTGCTCAGCAATTGGGGATGTTTCAGTGACACAGGCCAACGAGTGGTGAGCGAAAGACAAGCACACTGGGGTGGCTAGCATGTGCGTCCGGGAATTTTGGCCCCAACGCTGCTGAATCGCAAGCTATCCATCGCCACTTTGATCGATGGCGCTGCCCTGCACGCACTGTTCAGCGTATGCCCAGAGATGGCGATTGACAATACAATCGTGTCAGTCCTGCTATTGTGCTCAGAGTGTTCATATTTCTCTCCTTGTACCCTTCCAGATATGAGGAAGACATAGGGCTTGCCAAAGAGTTTGGAATCAATACTTTTCGGCTTTCTATCGAGTGGGCGAGGCTGGAGCCCAATCGCGGGCAAATAGACATGGAGGCTGTTCAGAGGTGCGCTGCCATGGCTGATTCCCTCCTCAATGCAGAAGTGTAGATGCGTCTACACTTGCTGGACACCTGGACCTCAGACGCAAAGTATGCTTGGCCGTTATGGGAGGCGTAGAAGATCTGTACCAAAGGGATCATCCATGGTGAATTGCATTCCCAGGACTAGGGGCATTGTCCTACTGCATGCTCCCCAAGCAATGACTTCATAGTGTGCAATGCATAGCTTGAGTGGAATGGACAAGTTGTGAGTTTGTTGAAGTTCGTTGTTGGCATTCTACAGGTACCATCAAATCCTTGCATGCCTTGAGCAAAACAACATGGTCCCCATGGCCACATTACACCACTTCACGCATCCACAGTGGTTTGAGGAACTAGGCGGGTTCACAAAAGAGGAGAACATCCCATTGTTTGTGGAGTATGCCAAGAAAGCTTTCACATGGTTTGGACCAAAGATTCGGCTGTGGGGAACATTCAATGAGCCAACAGTAGGTACCAACCAGAGTGGTCCTAATAGTAAGAGTGGTATGTGCTGTGGCAATCTGTTGGCCAGAACTTGTTGCTTGTCGCATTTTGCAGTTGCCATACATCTAACGCAACATGACTTGCAAATGTCAATACCCCAGCACTGCCGCATATGGTACGATACTCACCAGCTCTTTCTGCTTGCTCCATGGAAACTATAGTAAGCCAGAAGACAAGAGATGGAATGTGGTGCCAAATGCTTTGTGCTGGTATGCAGGCTAATCGGCTGCGGGTGTGTTCCAGTCATAAACTCATGTCAGCCTCAGCATGTGTTCAGGTTGCAAATTTCACTGTTACACCAGCAGCAAGTCATATTTCCCTTGCAGTCCAAACTATAGCACTCTTGCACAATTCCCTACTGCCTGATTCTTATATTTTGTGTGGGTTTGCAGTGTTTCAGTTTCTGTGGCTACATCATTGGCCTTTGGTGCCCTGGTTCCAGACTGATGTTCCGGCAAGCTGGGGTGTGCTTGCTGAACCTATTGAGGTGTCACACTGAGACGTACAGAGCCATCAAGGCCTTGCCTGGGGGAGAGCAGGCAAGGGTTGGGCTGGTTCATCAGTTCATGTTATTTGAACCAAGGAACACCGGCATAGCTGCAACGCACATTAGGTAAATGCACCAATACATCTTTCGCATGCAGATATGCATAGCTGCTGCCAGAAGGAACTGCAATGATTTGACAGTATGATGACTGGACGGCTGTCCTGTGTATTGTTGCTGCTGCTTGCTTTGTGTTTCTTGATTTGCAATATGTACTTGGAGTTGAAAGGACTGAATGTTCAGTGCAAGGAATATTTTATGTGTTTGTTCTTCTCCTTAGCTTCTACACATATGCAAGTCCCAGTGGCAAGATATAGTCTTTTGGCGTGCTTCAGTTTGTGCTGCCTGCAGTTTCTGGTCAGCATCCCTGTAGCCTAATTTTTATGTGAATACAACATACACAGCGTAAGGCCACAAAGAGGTGCAAGGATGTGACCACAGGGCTTCAGATACTGTCCACTGGTATGCAGGACAAGATTTGCCAAGTTTATGGAAGAAATGCGATCCCAACTATCTTGTGAACTACTAAATGGACGGACTGTGCTGTCAAAGGCCTGTGACATCCTGGATGACATTCTGGTTTGGAACGGACGTGCTGATGAATTACATGCTGAGTGGGGATTTCATCTGGAAGTCGCCCTTCAAGGGTATCACTGTGGAAGCTCATGATGGAAGACCACCGTTGGATTGGTTTGGGATAAACTATTATTCCAGGTGCGGTGTTGGCCTGACAAGGTGCCTGGCAGGGAAACAACCCCTTTCCTTTGTTTGACGAGGGCCACGGTTGCTGATTCAAATTTGACCAGAATGCAGATTGGCATGGTTTAGTGCCATGTGCATTGTTAGTTAAAGCCACATGCCTGCTTTTTGGGCTGGGGCAACTTACAAGCATTTGGCGGCATGGGAATGAGTATTGCACTGAAAACCAGGAGAGGACCAGAGTGCACGATGTTCTGGTGACATTTATTTTCTTGTGCATTGTAGGCTCACAATCAACTGGAAGTTTGGAGTGGGTGGGACATCCGGGGAGCAGATATCCGATACAGGATTTCCCATCCATCCAGGGGGTATGTACAGGTCCATCAAGTTGGCGGGTGAGCTCGATGTCCCAATCTACATCACAGAGTGGGGCATGGCAGACTCCAGGGATGACAGGCGGCATTACTTGATAGGAGCGTACTTCAACCAGGTAGGCATGAACACACAGTATCCTATCAGGTATTGAAAGGCATGTCCCAAGGTTGGCAACGCGGTTCGTTTGCAGCTTTGGCCTTAGTGTCTTTGGTGGTACTGGTCTTGTTCAGCCTGGATCTCACTTGTTTCCTTCAGTTTGTGTGGCTGCATGAATCCATGTGTGACAATGACACAGGCAAAGTGCCCTCCAAGTCTCTCCCTCCAAGTCTATTTCTCCTCCTCTTGTGCTTGTATATGGTTCCAACATTGCCAGACATATTGGTATGTGCAATGTTCATAGTATATGATCCCAAGACTGCAACTCTGTTGTTGTCGACTGTGGTTGTGAATCAGAAAAATAGTGCCCGGTTGGGTGCAGTGTACTCTGTGATTCTGCTCATAATTGACAACATCATGTGGAAGGACCCCAAACACAAGCAGGTGGCCATTTGTTTTGTGGCATAGTAGCAAGTTTATTTGATGGTGCGCTGGATCTGGACATGCACCTCCCACAGTCAGCAGCTCCCTAGATCCCCAGCTGTTACATTTTCCTCCATTTTATACAGATCATGAAAGCAATATCTGACGGCTACCCAGTCCGGGGCATCTACTACTGGACGCTCATGGACAACATCGAGTGGCACGAGGGGTTCCACATCAAGTATGGCTTGTACGAGTGGAGCCCTGGTGGGAACGGTGATCGCAAGCTGCGTGAGCACAGCAAGGTGTTAAAGACGCTCTATGCTGCACTACCCACCACTGTTGCGGAGGTCAAGACGATGGCGACGACCCACAGGCAGGCGCCCGTTGTGAGCGCCCCTGAAGGGGTAGATCCCCAACCAGTGAGTGCTGAAGCCAAGCCTGTGTGATGAAGTAGGATTATCAGCAGATTGCCCGGAGAGAACTTTTGGATTTAGGAAGTTGTTGCCAACAGTAGGGGCCTTCTTTTGGCGACCTGCAGCTCACTGTATGTTATGGCCTGGTGCCGAGGCTAGCTGCTGGTACTCAAAATTTCAATCACATTTGGAGAGCACAGGCAATGTGCTAACACCAGCACTCTCCGTAGTGCTACCAAGCCAGCTGACAAAGGCATCCCACGTCTCAAGGCTTGCCGCAGGTGCTGATGCAGCTGAATTGTTGGGACCACCATTCTAGCGAGCATTGTTGCAGCCAGGATTCTAATGTGCTGCGAAATGATCGATGCTGCGCGACTTTGAGAGTTTGACAATGCATGCAGCACGTGCACATATGTAGGCCCTGCTTGCTGCCATTCTGCTGTGCTGCACTTAAAACACGACATCCAAGGCAAAATCGACCAAATGTTCAATGGTTGGACATGTGCAGCAGATGCTTTGTTGATATGTGATCCCCAATTGCTTGGAAGAAATCGCAGAATGCAGAAGAGATGACTTCCACCCTGCGTTAAGTGCTGAATCTGATTACCAATCACAATCACAATGTTCCTCAAGGAGGCCTTCAGATTGTGGTGGGCAGCATCAAGTACACCAAAAACGTTCTATTGCTTTGGCCTAGTCATTATGGATAATGGCCAAGTTGACAGGTAGAGTGACAGGCTTCACTATGAGTCAAGTACACCAAGGTACACAGCTGTCAAGCCATACTACAGTATTGTTCAGCTCAGTATGCTATTTGGTTCAGCATTCTGTTCACAACATGTGCTGGCCCACCCTTCTGCAAACAGATGGTTGATCCCCCACACAAGCAGATGGCTGATCTTTACTCGATTAGTACTCAATGTTCAGCAATCTGCACTTGGATCAGCTTCAGGCAACACACACACACACAGCCAGACCAAGAACACTGTTGGTTCTGCTTTCCCCACTGGTTGCCAGCCCAAGACACCCCCACAGGCACCCCACAGCAAGGCCCCAGCCCCTGGTGATCCCACATTACAGTACAGGGCAGCACAGTGAGATATGGCGCACTGCGACTCCACACAGCGGGTGCGCCCGCTCGCCGGCTGTCGCCCAGTCGCGTCACGGGCCTCGCGGTCGCGCAGCCAGTCACAGGTCACTCCAAACGCCCTCGTCGGGGCTTACACGCCAGGCAGTTCGGTCCCTCGGCCCCACACCACGTGCAAGAAAAATCACAGGATTGCACAGTGCGCCGCCACCAACCACATTCCCCCTTTTGGCAGCCCACTCACGGCCACTCGGAGTGGCCCATCAAACAGTAACTGGCCCCTCACGCATGGCTACCAACTTCCTGTCAAACTCACTGGCCCTTTTGGTCCAATTCTCATAGTACTTTAAATTCCGACCAGCCCCTTTCTGCCCGCCCACGTGACAATGCGCCCCCCGTACTCCGCCGGATCACCCCCACTCACCCGGGGCGCACCCCGGCTCCTGCTCCCCGCGCCTGCGCCACTCCCCGCTCGCCGCTTGCTCGCCGGCCGCCACGCCGGCTCAAATCTCCTCGGGCTCCTCCTTCACGGAGGGCCCCGCCACCTCCGTCCAATCCGAGATGATCACGCCAGCCGCGTCAGCGCCTCTGACTCCGCCGGCCTCGCCGCCCGCGTCACCGCCCCAAGGCCCGCCATGGCCCGCCGCTTCGCCGCCAACGTCCTCCATCGACTCGCCTTCGCTCTCCGACGGTAACACGCCGCTTTCCCCCTCACTTCGCGCGTCCAATGGCTCGGCCGGCGCGGCGCCATTCTCCCCGAAACCGGCACCATTCAGCACCCCCGAACTTCCGCCGCTCACCACGCCCCTCGGCCTCTCCATCGGCACCATTGCGCGCAGCATCGCGTCATCAATCGGCGGCCTCGCCGCCACGCCACCATACCTAGCCAGAGCGACCTCGAGGCCGCGCATTGCCTCGCGCGCGGCCTCCGCGGCGGCCTCCAGCTCCGCCGCGCGCCCATCGTCCTCA